GGTCGACCCTCCCAGACGACATGACGTATACAACGCAGCCAGACGCACGAAGTTTTTTATATTATTTTTTTATGTGTTCCATGGCTGTAGTCTGATAATCGTAATCGTTGTTTTGTATGTTTATGCCTTTTCCAGATGAAAGAATACTTGAAATTATGTAAAAGTTATAGCATGGGGTTATGAACTCCTACACTGGCATCCTTCGTTGTTACGAGATCGACCTTCTCATCAGCTGATAGTTTGTTTACGTTCTGTCGACAGTTGAGCGAGAGTTCTCATTCAGCTGCTAGGTCTTCTGGCGCACATGGAATTGCGTTTTTCGGTTCTGTACACTGATTACAGCTGCCTTAGGTGGCCGGATGCCGTAGAATGAATAAGTTCTTTCGAAGCTTATATTTTGCACGTTTACAAAACTGCTCAGACACAAGCATCACGGCTCAGACACCCACATCCACACCCACCCTCACCCACTCGCACACACACACACACACACACACACACACACACACACACACACACACACACACACACACACACACACACACACACACACACACACACACACACACACACACACACACTCACTCACTCACTCACACTTACACACGCACGCACTCACTCACTCACTCACACTCACTCACTCACTCACTCACTCACACTCACTCACTCACTCACTCACTCACCCACTCATTTACTCACTCACTCACCCATCCAACCATCCACCCACCCACTCACTCATTCACTCACTCACTCACTCACCCATCCAACCATCCACCCATCCACCCATCCACTCATTCACTCACTCACTCACTCACTCACTCACTCACACACACACACACACACACACACACACACACACACACACACACACACACACACACACACACACACACACACATACACATATTCGCATATATCAACTTCACAAACATCTTTCAACTGATGACGAATAGGAAAAAATACTCAAAAGATGAGATCTGCCATTATAAAAAAGTGTGTTTTCCTACTTGAGGTCAAAACGGTCATTGTAAGTATGACAGTGAGGACACGAGCAAAAGGAGTAAGAACTAAACAGAATTCATTATTATTGATGGCATCAGTACTATAATTACAGTCATCGTAACCATATAATATAAGTAGCATTAATGTTGATACGGATTTAGTCAGTTATAAAGATCATACTTATTTGCATAACAAAATAGCTAATGTTTTATGTTAATTTTTATAAACAAATAGATGTACTAAATATCAAAGGTTGTATAGCACTATGATAAAATAAAATAAAAATAATCACATTAAAAGTTTGAAAATGATTACTGGAATCATATACGTAACTTGCTGACAAAAAGAAATTCTGCTAAACTTAAAATACGACGATTACTTGAACTGTTTAAAAAGCCCTGGCAGTGTTGAGTAACTATGTCAAATGTAGTATTAATATCTAGTTTCACAAGATCGACTCATTTTCTACACCTGGTGAATACTGACATCAACCTCAACACAAAAAAAAAAAAATTACACCAAGACTTCTTCACTGACGAAACGAGCATTTAGGGAGCAGAGTTGTACATTACAGCTTTTCTTTGTTTCTAAGCAGAAGGTTCTAAAATCGTTGTTTTATTCAAGGCCAAAAATAAGCAATTGGACGAAGACGGTACTGTTTTTTTTATGTTTGTTTTTGTTACTTTAGATCGTCCCCTGCACTGGGAGTACGTGAGGACAACAGCATCCCACTGTCAGTTTTTGTTACGTTTATTAGGATTGGTTAGATAAAAAAAAACTGATAGATGGAAAAAAGTGCAAAAACAGCCTAGGATTTCAAGGACTCTTAGGTCATTTGAATAATGCATTGTCGGTGATCATATTGGACTTACAAAACGCATCTGAAACGATATCGATCACAAATAAACAGCCCATAGAAGCATGTAATCATTAAGATGAAAAATAAGGACCACGATAGCGACAAAAATTAAGTAAAGATAACAGCCATAGCACAGGCAACACAAAAAAGAAAAGGAAAAATAATGCAAAGAGTTTCGAAGCTGGCTGACGGGAACCCTTTTACGGCAGCAATGGTGCTGCTTCCACCGGCCTCAACCAGCCACTACCACAGCGCAACGGGCGTACAGGCCAGGAGGGAGGTCACAGGACGTGGGTACGGGGCGGCCGGGCCTCCGTCGGTCTATTACGAGGCAAGACGTTGTGCCGTACTTTCGCAATTCATGTTCGCTCGCAGTGAAGAAGACGGTTCAGAAAGGCGTTCTGAAGATGTACGTAGTTTCGCCAAGTTTTATTATTTTTTAACTCTGCTAAGAGAGAGAGAGACAGAGAGAAAGGGAGGGAGTGGGGAGCCAGAAAGTGCTGAGTCACATACACAAATCACCTGCAGCATACGAACCGCATAAACACGCAAAATAAAGACAGAATCCAATCAACGCACGCAAACAATCACAATCACACGCATCCGATCACAATCACATACTCAATCACGCTCGCGCATACATCCCACACGCAGTCAAGCCCTGAAATCAAGCCCGCGAAGAAGAACGCAGTTTGCCTTGGAGTTGGAACGACGTCGGAGATCCTGAATGGCCACACCTTGAGCTTCGTGTTTCCAAACATAGTCTGCAACAACTTTTTTTTTCCTGTTTGTTAAGGATATTAGATTATTACTTGACAAAATCATTCCTTTGTTTTGATTCTGGTTGATATGTGCTAGTTTTTTTTTCTCTCTCTCTCTTTTTGGGGCACTAAATTTCACTTTTGTTTTTGTTTTGCTTAACATGTTGTTTTTCTTGTTGTTTATTTCTGTTTCTGTCTCTCAACTTTTTCGTTATTTCACAATAGGATTTAGAGAAGACAGGTGTGCGCAGGTGGCGAGCATTTGTAAACTTGTCATGTGGGTACATTTATGGGCGTGTCATGTAAAACAGGTGTGGTCGGGCTCTAGCAAGCTGTGGGTAAGTGGCGTTAGGTGACGCCGGTGGGTATGCTTCTGTCTCGTGGGTACAAGTTGAGCAATTTTCGTACTTCGTTATCCGGCCTTGACAAGAAATGCGGAAGTGTATCACAAATATAACATGATCTAAGTGCGCATGTACGAAGGAAATGTACTCACACTTGGGTCAACCTATCGAGGTGTACTCCCCTCGCAACACATTGTCATGATAAGGAGAAGAGATCGAAACGATGAAAAAAAAAAGAAAGAAAAAAAGTTAACAGCGGAAATGCCTCCGCAACAGTGATTACTTGGCGTTTTGTTGAGAGAAAGAAGATAAAAAACAAAGGAAGAGGAGAGAAATATCAAGAAAGAGTAGAGATAAACTAGAATAATGAAACGGACGAGGCGGTAGTCAGTAGAGAGAGAGAGAGATTAGAGGACGACAGGGAGTATCCGGTATAATGACGAGGCGGTTGTGCTGTGTTGTGTGGTCAGGGCATTGCAGTCCAACCGCGAGGGCAACTATCAACATGCAAGCGGCGTAGGAACAGCAACTGCTAGCTGCTGTTGCCTTTGGCTGAAGGATTTGCAGCTCGTAGTGATGAAGAGATGTAGTTCTTAAGCGGTCTTGTTGATGTTGGCGGCGTTGTGTTGGTGGGTCGTTCCGGGGTCAAGTTGCTGAACGGCAAATTAACGGGAAGTAGTATCAATTTTTAGAACCCTACAGATAAAATGAGTAAAGAGAAGAAATGGACTTTGTGGAAAAAAAACCTAATTAACATGTTGGATTCTGCTCTGGCTGACCCGTGAATGTCAACAGCAGGTGTACAAAATGGAAGCAGCTTCAGGTTCTGTTCGTTGTGATGGCGAAGCAGGTGAGGGCACTGATCATGATGATAATGGCTCTTGTCAAGGTAGCAGTGATAATGAAATTAATGACAACAGTAATAAAGAAAATAACAACTGGAATGATGATGGTAATACAAATAATGTATAACCGCTGTCCTTGATTACAGGACAAAACTCATAAGTATTTTTTATTACCATTCCGATTTCATTTTCAATATATTTTATGAATTTTTCGGGTTATATCACAAAGAGAAAGTTGTTCTCAACTTCATATTTTCCAAACATGATGTATATACGAACTTCGTAGAGTGACAGGCTTTTTGTCAATTGATTTAGAAAGTTTCTAGAAAATATAAGTACGGGATAGATATCAATGTATATACCGCTTATGAACTCGCTAATGGAAACACACACACATCCGTGGATTCAAGAATGCAGCTGCTCTATTCGAAGATACACTGAAAAAAGAAGGAAAAATTTCCTTAGCTGAAGTCTACGGGAAAGAATCCGCCTTTTTTTAATATTTAAGTATAGAGATAGCAAGCTTTCCTATGGGTGGCACCGAAGTCAAACCAGACAATGTGATGTGGTTATTGCCAGAATACGTTTAGATTACAGAATGTACTAGCAACTGCATGGTGTAAGAAGTGCAGATAAATCTAGATGTAGACTGTGTAACGAAGAAAACAAGCGAACGTTTGAGCACTATATCTCGGAATGTCATGTGATACAATAATTCAGACCACTTAACATAAGGTATACAGAACTATGTGAATATTTCATTTTATCTGATACAGTGGAACATATACTCGTACTATATCCTAAATTTACTATGTAATACTGCCGTAAACAAAAAACAGTGTTATGTAAACACCGTGACAAAAGCATATCAACGTAATATTCATTTGTATGCAGTATGATTTATTTTTATTTTACCATGTACAGTTACAGGAGTCACAGAATACTATGTCAAATATATGTAAACTGTAATCACGATTGCCCATGCCTGAGCAGATAACCAGGGTGATAAATAAACTTACTTAACTCAACACCTCAGACTGTCATGTGTCACGGCCTTTCAGACCACCTAAGATTAGGCACGGAGAATATATACTTATGTTGTATCCTAAATTTGGAATATAGAAAGGTCTTAGAATATAAACTTAAGTTGTATTCTAAATTTGAAATGTAGTATCAAATGACTGCATAT